CTATTAAGAGTACGTTTATGATTTACGTACTGCTTAAGAGTACGTTTATAACATAAAGTCTAATGTGGAGGCCCGGCTTATTACAGTATCGGTGGATTTGGCCTTGCGTTCTCATCGGTCAAGTTAAATGAAATACATCACCTTCGGGATGTTCAAGAGTTTGATAATACGGTAGTTGCGCATTATGTTGAGCTGCAACCATATCTATGGCATGTGGTCCATAGAAATTATCTGTTATCTTAAATCATCTAGGATTGGCCTTCCAATAGGTAAACTTTCAAACAATGCTGTGGAAGTCCGGGACAAAGCGTGACATCATACCGGTTAGTCTGTCATCTTAAGTTATCTAGGATTGCCCTCCCAATAGGTAACTAAAAGCTTACAAATAATCCTGCTGAAATCCGGGATAAAGCGTGTCATTATATCCGGTTAGCTATTGGGAATACCCTGAATATGCTTTATGCCAACGGGGGAATTTGTGACGGTATCATGCCACCGACTGACAAACTGTCAGTTGAGTTTTATATCTTTTAAGTGTTCCAATGAATTCTGATCGCATAGTATTAAGATGAGTATCATATATGTATAGTGTAAGAATGAATGAGTGCATTCACATAGAATAGAAGCTTATATTGCACTGTTTGGTAGTTGATTTGTGACAAGTTCATGGCCCTGCTGAAGAACTACATATATCTCGATTTCCCGTCAGTCATCTGATACAGTAAATCCCCCAGTGCCATTTTGGATGCGTCGCTTGCCACCATAAATGATAACCCATCCTTTGGTGGCTGATCTATGTGTCCAAAGTGTTTGAGGTAACTTACTAAGTAAGGACCTCCACCCAACAGAAAGTTGACAATATCACACATGCTGTTTACATCCTTAGCCTGCGGTGAGTGTTCTCCAATCTAATAGATGCTCTACCTTTTTGGGATCGATTATGATCGCTTCACTGGATACACGGTACATCAAACAGCTGAATCTGGTTAACGTCAATTATCTTCATTGCAATCTTACACGCATACAAGACATCAATACCTACACAGCCACACACCGGACACACCACATTACAAAACGACCTCGCCCGCATCCGCCATAAACACGACACTTACTTTGAGGAACGTGAAGAGGCACGATTCAAACTCATTCAAGCTCAGGAACAATTCACTGCATGCCCTGACACTCACCTTGAAGCTACCGCACCACCCTCCGTAAACCCTACGCCCTTGCTGAAGCTGACATACAACGCTTGCGCACAGATCGCAACGCATAACGCGCCAACCTCACCCTACAACCACACGAACATGCACGACTTTTACAGGACGCCCTCACAGAAAACGAGGTCCTCGCCACTGCCGCCACACAGCTCCCTGACGAACTCACTACCCTTCAGGCGTAACTTGTTGCATCTGATTCCCATAGTTTCAGTCAACAGCTGCAGGTAGCCCAAAGCAGCAAGATCCGCAAGCTTGAACAACGCTTCCCATCTATCCCCTTGTTCACCCCGCCTCGATCTTGATCGGACTCCCCACTCCTTGGCACTCCCCACCACGACTACCATCAGATGCCCAAAATCCCTGACAGTCTAGCCAGTACCCTTCAAGTATTCCAGTAAATATGCTGCTACGAAGCTTACTGGGGACGACAATTTTACCAACTGGCGTCGTCAACTCAAACACAATCTTAAGAAACATGACATCGTCCACCCTATGCACCCTGCCTCTGCTGTTGACTCCTGCGAGAAGACCGTTGGCACCACCATCTTATTTGAGTTACTCGGCAACGGCCTCCCAGAACAATACGACACTTATCTCGACCAAAGACCTCTCGCGTTCTATCGCCGCCTCTGTAACGACTTCAACTTCGTCACCATCGGCCGCATATATGAACTCCTCGTTCAACTCGTTACCCTCCCCAAGCAGCCCTCCCTGGATGACAGCATCGCCAAAGTCCATCTCCTTCGCGACCAGTTCAAAGACCTCACATGCTGACATACCAGAATTTTATCACGTGTGCAGCCTACTGCAATCCCTTCCTGATGGATTCGAAATCATTGCCCAGGACGTTATGGGCGCAACTGACCACACATACACCCTCGATGCCATCGTTTCTGAAATGCGCAATTATGCCACCAATATTAAGGTCATTTTAAGCACTAGCAGCAACTATGGCGTCGCCAGTGCCTCCCACCACACTCCTTCCCCTACACCTACCCAACGTCCCCGCCGTATCCCACTCGGTAAAGACCCCTCCGGCAACTGCTTCGCCTGCCAGAAGCCTGGCCACGGCGCCTATAACTGGCATTCCACCAACTGTCGCCGCTGCTGCGACTCATCCCTTACAGGCACCCAATGTACTCTCCCTGATTCTCTTTAATGTAATAACTACCCCAATTCCACTGGTCACACTACCACCGCCAGCCGCCGTGCCTGAAGCCACGGGATTCCTCACGCAGCCACACATCCACAACCAGTTCCCCACCCGGCTGGCCCCACCATCGAACCGGTGCACTACCCTTATACTCCGTGCCGAACCCAACTACTAATCTGTCATAGCCACTGCTCTTATCGACTCCGATGCCGACATTTCAATCATCACCTCCGCTTACACACTCCTCGACGTCGAACATGGTCAATTCGTCATTGAGCTCGTCGGCGGATCCTTCGTCACCGCCCCTACCCGTGGCACCATTCCCGGTCTCGGCCCTGCCCGCGTTCTCCCCGACGCCAGCCAGCCTATCCTCTCCGTATGCAATATGCAACGCAACGGTTACAGTATCTTCTTTCCTAAAACTCCCGCTCCCAGCATTCTCGCCCAATGCCTTGTCACATGCGATGGCACCTCCGTCAAAGCCATCGACAAATCTGCCGGGCGCTACCACCTGAATGCCTTCCAGACTGACAGTCTCAACCTCCATCATCCCCGCTTTGGGCACCAATCCACCCGCGCGACTAAAGCCATCGCCCACACCCACAAAATCCCTACCCCTCCGCCGCTGACCTACTGCGACGACTACCGACTTCACCCCACACTATTTGACAAACACGTCACGCAGGTCTTCGGCTCCGTTGACATCGACATGTTCGCTAATAAGTACAACCACCAGGTCCCTACCTATTGCACCCTTGACCACACAGACAAAGCCACTTCCCTTCACGACGCATACAAACAGCACTGGCGCCAGCCCACCAAGCGCCTCTATGACAAACCTCCCTGGAAAGATTCCCCGCGCGATACCGACCAAGGCCGCATGATTTGGTTCTTCCCCGTCAAGCGTAAAGCAGCATGGTGGCGCAAACTCATGGCTCACCTTCAGTTACACGTCGAAATTATCCCTTCCTTTCCGCATACGTTCCTCCGACGCCAACCCGACGGAACTCAAGACTTTGTCACCACTCCCAACTGGCTATACACTGGTGTCGCTATCTTCGGTCCTACGGCTCAAGCCGTACCCATTCCTGCAGCACTCCAAACTACCATCGACATCAGTCTCCTCCACACGGGGTCCCTAGCATGCTCCTGCGTATCCTGTGCCACTGGCGAAATGCACAAACTCTAAGTTAGGGACAAGTCCCGAACCCTCCCTGCCATTGGCGCTAAATGGCAGGTCGATCTTGAAGCCAAATTTGAACAGAGATATGGTGGCCATGCACACACTATCCGTTTCTTTGAACGCCGTACAGGCCTCGAGTACCAAGAGCACCTTCGTGTCAAAAGCGATGCCCACCTTGTCCTCGATCGTTTTTACACCTATATTGAAGCACAGGGGCGCGATCGCCTACGCACCATCATCGCCGACCGTGGTGGTGAATTTGTTGCAACCGAATTTAAACGCGCTATCCACCTCGCCCATGTACAGATCCTCTACAACCCCACTGGCGACTCCGTCAAACACGGTGGTGTCGAACGTGGACACCAGACCAACATGAACATTGCATTTTGCATGGTCGCCCAGGCTCTCCGACCCTCCCACATGTGGGCCGAAGCCAAATCCCATGCATCCCACATCAGCCCTTACGAAGCATTCTTTGGTCGCCCCATTACTGCTTTCGTCAAAGCCCTTCGCGTGTATGGCTGCATGACCCTCAGTTATGATCACGGCAACACCGACAGACTCTGTCCCAAATGTCGAGTTGGCATCCTCATCGCGTATGACCACTTCTCTACGCACGCCGACGAATATCGCATGCTCAACGTCGACACTGGTCCCACCGTGACTTCCCGCCACGTTCCATTCAATGAGGGCATCTTCCCCTTATGTCACAACGTCAGTTCTAGGTCCAAGCCCTATTCTCTCTATTGTCGCCACATATCACGATACCCTGCCTGCCGTCGTGAACCCGCCCGCCACCTTGACCTTCCTGCCACCGCCCGAGACCTGTGACCCTTAGAACTCTCCGCCGTGTTCCGTCGTCGATTCTGCACCCCCCCCCTATGTGACCTCCCCAGCCCCCCACTTCCGTCTCCCCTCACCGCAACTGACTCTCCCCCTGAAGATCTTCAGATCCTGCTTCGTACCGCCCGTGACCCTATCGCCCACCCGACCACCCAATCCTCTACTGACCGCCGTGCCCTCAAAGGTCGCACCAGCACCGCGGATTTCCAGACTCAGCAACAGGCCAAACTTCTACAAACCTATACAGCTCGTCACGACCAATCCCGTATCCTGGGGTCACACAACGACAAGCTACAGCACCACCTTGCCAAACGTTCCCATAACCGCGAGCTCCGCAACCTCCTCATCGACGACTCGCACGATACCCCACACATATCTGATCTCCCGGGTCCTGACAAGTACCGCCCTCACTTTACCCGCAAGCAACTCTCGGACCAACGAAAATACAATGCCGTTTGCTCTCACGTTCACGCACTCTGCGAGGCTGTCCAGAACCAACCGATCACCCCTACCTTTATCAAACAGGCCCTCAACAGCCCCAAAGCCGATCTCTGGCCCGCAGCCATCGAGTCCAAAATGAACAGCCTTCGCAAGACTGGCACTTTCGTCATTCGCGACAAGACCGACCTTCCTGCAGACGTCCTCAATGTAACGTCCAAATGGGTCTTCAAAATCAAGATAGACAATGGAATCGTTGACAAATATAAAGCTCGCCTCGTTTCCCTTGACTTCACGCAAACCAAGGATATTAACTTCACGGAGACGTATGCGCCCACCTGCACCCATGAATCCCTCCGCACGCTTCTCGCTTTCGCTGCCAACAAGGGTTGGCAGACAGAGCAGATGGACGCCAACACCACATTTCTCAACGCTGACCTTGGTCATCCTCTTTTTATGAACCACGCGCTGGCTCCGACCAAATAGGCATCTCTAAGGTCACCACCCTTGAGCTCAAGAAATCGCTTTACGGTCTCAAACAATCCGGCAAGCTTTGGTTCTCTCTTATCCAGTCTAAGCTACTTCAATTCGGATTCTACCAGGCACATACATACCGATGTATGTTTACCATCCGCACACCCTCATACAATGATTTACGTCGACGACCTAATCATACGTGGTTTCACTCCAGCCGATGTTTGAAAAATTCAAAGCACAGCTTCTATCGTAATTCGACTGCTCCGTCCTCGGCGAACCCACCTGGCTCCTCGGCTATCGCATTATCACTAACGCTGATTCCACCAGCATCGTCCAGACCTCGTACATTCATGAGGCCCTCGAGCACTTTGACATCCCTACAACTCATCCTGTCAACAACCCCCTTCAGACTGCCCCGCTCGTATAACATGAAGGCCCTCCCTTTGCCTGCCCCTACCGAGAACTCGTTGGCACCCTCCTTTACCTCTCTATCCTAACGCGCATCGATATTACCTTCGGTCAACAATATCTCCCGCTTTCTTTCCAACCCTAGCGCAGACCACTGGCTCACTGTTTGTTGAGTCCTCCACTTTATCCGAACCAACTCCACACTTGGCCTCACGTACAGTCAAACGCCCCAACCCCTTTCCACTGACGCCTACGCTGATGCCAGCTGCCTCACTACCCGTCGTTCCACCATCGGCTACGTCTTTCACGTGTGTGGCACACCAGTGATTTGGAAAAGTAAACGCCAAAAGACTGTCAGTACTAGCACTGCTTAAGCCGAATACTTTGCTGCCAGTGAAGCCGCTAAACTCCTACAATGGCTCCGCAATTTATTAACTGAACTCGGCAATACCCCCGATGCCTCCGCTGATCTCTACTGCGATAACCAATCCGCCGCACATGTCATTACCAACACGCGCACTCCCAAGCAGCTGAAGCACGTCGATATTTGCGTTCACCATATTCGTGACCTCCAGAACCAAGGTGTCATTGCTACCAAGTATTTTGACACTGCCGATAACATCGCAGACACCTTGACCAAAAACCTTCCACGACCCACCCAAACAAAACATACATCTAACACACTCACCGACATTCCCGACCCTGATCAATCATCCCTTGTTGCAGCATTTGCATATACGTCCGATAACAACCATACACACATTACCAACACACTATACCGTGTCTGCTATCTCTGTTATGCAGCCTAACTTACAACATCGTCCATGCCTTCAGGAGAGATCCACCCGATCGATGCTCACCGCCATCCACCCTCTGATTTGATTCATCCGCCTCCTTGCTGTATATATATGCACTACTATCCATCTAGACACCAGCTTGCTCTAGACCCACTAACTGTAACATCGTTACCCTATACTACACAAACATACTTATACACATACGCACACAACGTGCACAGCACCCGATTGGTCGACCACCACCGAGACTTCTCCTCCCTTCAACATTTTTTCTGCATCGTCCTCCCAGTCCACGCTCGCCCCCAACGCCTTCGGCCCCAGACCCCACCTCGAAATTTTTAATATTCCTCCAATTTGCTGTCAACCCAATTTTACCGGCCCATCATCTTCTGCCTCAGCCCATTGTCCCATCCCCTTTTTCTTTTTACAATTATTCCAGCCTCAATCCAGTTTGAGGAGAGCCAGCCTATATGTTGCTATCACTACCCTAGGGTACCTAACACATATAAAAATTATTTACATACACTGTCCTTTCGCTTCCAAATTAAGGAGAGTGTTGAGACAAATTTATAAGACTCAAATTCAAACCCTAAAAACCCTATGAGCTCAAAATATATTACGGTTCATGTTATTGTAACAATATCTTTAAAAGGCACATGGTAGTTATATAATATATAGCCAATACGCAATATAATAATAAACTTACTTCATTAAGCAAATATATAATATATGTTCCAACACACCCGAATAGCTATATCTTCTTGAAGAGTATGGATTTTGTAGCATGTTGTTTCTGCTATTTGTAGTGGCTCGGCTTGGAACTTGACAACTGTCATGATCACAGGGAAAAAAATTCACCAACAAGAAAACTTCTATCCTTGCAGTTCTATTGCATATTTTAGCTTTGATTATAGCTGATCATTCATTTGCTTTTCTTCGAATTCTTTAGAGCTGGAGAACAAATCCGACCGTTGCTGTTGTCGATAAATCTTCGGCCAATTCGGCCAATAGACATATATCCTCTAGCGGAAGAGATAGCCACGACAAACACGCACTACATGACTGATGAAGAAAACAAAAATAAACAAATGTATATTGACAAGATTGCAATTTTTTAGCACTTCCGTCTTTTCGCCTGTCACTGTCTTGTACTCCATGGCCAAAGAAAAATAAAATGAAGGGTTTTCGTGCGTCATTTGGTGTAAATCTGTGCAAACCAAGGGAAGACGCATATCTGCCAGAATATAACTGGTTGTTGTTGGTCAATCGATATTGACATAGGGTCGGTTTAACTGTATTGGATGTCTTCTACTAAATACCATAAATTGTTCTGCGATGTGTTTAATACAAACTGTTTCATATGTACACTATTCCATTAACATCTTTCGTTGTTCAAAGGACATACTGATACGTAGTTGTTCGTAGAGACCGATCTGCAAAAGTATAGCTTGTATTCTTGGATGGTCCCAGTAAATCAGTTATTAATTAGCGGAGGGACTCCTTTGTAGTAGTAAAATGTCGTTTTCGTGATTCGACATCATTGTAATCACTATACCACGCATGGACTATGTCGCTGCAAGAACACAACCTCCACCTCTATTGGCGCCCGATTCTCATTGAAGAACAACACTAAGGCTCACTTTATTTTACTGAGGGGAACTCCCGCCTGTGCACAACAGTTTAGAAGCCCGCTCACTACACGAAATGACGGAGGCTCGAGGGTACACAATCTGGATTGCAAAGTATGTTCACACTGCCAAACTCGGATCGCTTTCATCTATTTTAAAGTTTTTGACTATTGTACATTCAAATCCCCCGAAGGCCGTCCTCTGGTTGATTTATCAAACAGTACCAATATTCCTATTTCTCTAAGCAGGTGAGTAGAATATATCTAATGTGGCTTGAATCAGGGGTATTTTTTTTAACTATTGTACATTTAAATTCGTTGTAGGCTGTCTCCTACTTGATTGGACCGACAATCTCAATATCTAATATCGCTAGGTATTACGGGCAATTGAAATCATAAAAGTGTCTACTACAAATGTAATTATAACGGAGAAAATAAATACGATTATTTAAGATCAGGGTCAGGCTCGGGTGAATACGGCATTGCTGTAATTGGTCAAAAAAGGTAGTTTGTCGAGCATTGAATATAGTGGGGCTATACATTGTGCGACGTAACCGTGCTACCCGTACTCATACGAGTATCATAGAAGTCGTTGGGTCACTTCTCTAATAGATAGTCGACTGGAGTGCGACGCAGGTTGTCAATGTTTAATATATTGTAGTCTTCCACATAAGTGAAGTCTTTCCAAAGCTGTTTGGTACTACGTATATTATTGAGTGCAGTGCGCGATACCTCTGTTGCGTCTGTCTGTCTGTCTGAGCAGCTCTTGTACTAGTGATATGTACTGTACCAATGGCATGCTTGTGCTCGCGAACAAGTCTTTGGCTACAGATACAAACTCAATTGTATCACGACAATCAGCCATGCTGACATACTTGCCTGCTGGCCACTTAGTGAACTCACTCATCTTGAGTAACTTAACCATTTCTAGTTCTGCGATTTTGTCTCCTTCGTGAGATCTAATTAGAGTTAAGTCGCTCATACAGCCAATGATCGCAATGCACTCATCGTGATTACTTTTATCACAGTTCTTCATAGCTTTATTGTATAGCTCTGGCAACCACTGGTCTATTACTGGTATCAATCTATTGGGCTGTTGGTCATGGACTGCTTTGCGGACTTTGTGGAGTGCTATCATGTCAATGGGATCGTCCGCTGTTTGTGCATACAACTTGTCTACTAATATATCTACGATGTAGAAGTTCCCCTCATAGATGGTCTTGCCCAAGACTATTCTGTACTTACTCATCGCTGGATCCAATGGAGCTCTGGCTGGTTTGGGCTCATCATCCATGCGCATCCCTCCATCCCCATTGTGTGGGGTAGAGGTGCATGAAGATGCTTGAGAAACTGGCATTGTGGGTGCTGTTTCTGGTCGTGTTCTGGTTGTACGACTTGTACTGCCTCTTGTCTGTGTTCTGCTTGAGCTTACTTGTGTACGTAGGCTCCGTCGTGCTGCACGTGTCATTTGATAAGGAAAAGAAGTCATTGACTGTTCTGTGTATTGATAATGACGCAATTCTGTTAGAGTTTATCTGTTCTTCCTTGACCTGAAATGTGTCACTCCTTTGTCAATATACCCTCTGGGTCACATGTGGTTAATTACCTGTATTGGTGTGCCCTCTGTGATGTCTGGCGGCTGTGTTGACTGTGAGTCCTTGTGCTTGATTGGCTTGAATTTGGCTGTCTTTTGATATCTGGGATATTTGGAGACTTTTTGGTTTGAGGAGATAAACTTTGGTTTATGTTGGTTTATATAGTATAAACTAGGTTCAGTGTGTGAACTCGGTTTATCGTTTTCGTAACCTTGGATTGAGGTTTATTGGGTTTTTTGTTGTAAATCTGTGTTATTTTCTAGTACCGCACTTCTGGCAAATTTTCGTTGAGTTTCTATAAAATCTGTGGTGGCTAGTGCACCCTCTTTTGTTATGTCAGAATGTTATGTGCTTCTGTATCGCGTGTGCGGTGAACCTTAGCGTATCTGTGTGTGTAAAGTCTGGAACAACAAATGTTGTTCTTGGTTCTGATTCTGGATGTTGTTATTCACTATTGTATACTTCGAGGGTGTGTCGTTGTTGTTATAGTGCCTCTCGTGACTTCTGTACTTCTTCATGTGATGTTCATGAGATTCATGTGGAGTTTATGACCTATGAAGTCCTGTGTGGAAGGTCTGGAACGTGGACGTATGTGTGTAGTCCCTGCTGTTGGGAATTTGTTATAACGTGGAGTCCATTGCTTGTGCTGTGTTTGTCTTTTGTGATCGCCCTTGTTCTGTATTTCCTTCTGATATATTCCTCTTAATTATGTGTATGTGCTTTATTCAAGTGATATGTTTTTGTGTATAGCTCCTAAGTGATGGCTTGCTTGTCTTTGTTCTATCCTTTGCGCTGTGTTATTATGTGAATACGCAATCTTGCACATATAGCTTGTTTTATGTCCCTGGGTGGGACTTGGTTATTGGTGGATATCACGTGTTCTTGTGTCGTCCTCTGTCGTTGAGGGTTCTAATCACTGTACTTCTCTGTGTGTGTGCTTGAATTTGATGGTGTGTGGATCTAGTTGGATTACTAGGCTATTTTGTATCTTTCTTGTGCACCCTTTCTTATATCCAGGTTGTAGATATTTGAGTGAGCTGTCAATGCTTATGCTTGTCTGTATATTACCTCTTAATGACAGCTATACCCATTCTTATGCGATTAGGCTGTTATTCCATGTCATTTATATCTGATTTAGCTTTCTAGTGTTCTTTAGCCTGATATATTGATCGTGCTTACTGTTTATGTCTGGTATCGGTTATTATTAAGAATGTTATGGCATCTATGGGGTTTAGATGTGGTATCTTTTGTGTCTTATAGCCATCCATGGAGTTTGGATGCTGAAATGTCTTTTTAACCAAGCAACTATATGTTCTAGGTGTTCGATCGCACTCTTGTAGACCTGGTTTTATGACTTGTGATATTATTATTCATATTTTTTTATGGCGTGTTTCTGCTAGCTTCTATGACTCGATGCCTATGATGCTTGCTTTAATTGTGTGCTGATGCTTCTAGAGATTCTGTGATTTCGCTTGTAGCTGTCAATAATTTGTGATGTGCCTTATTGCTTAATACTGTTCTAGACGATTCTTAGTTTATTTGATGTCTTGTATATATATTGTGCCTTGCGATTTCAATGTATCTCGTGATTTCAATGTGTCTTGTTGTTCTGACCTCTTCTAATTGTGAGGGTGTATGCTTCTGTCTATGGTGTGCTAGGCAATGTGATTAGTGCGTGTTCTACTGTGTTTCGTCACTGCGGTGACTAGTATTATTTTTGATTGATGACCAGACCCATGGAAGCTTGTAGCCTCCAACATTAAAGAAGTTGTCACCAGTGACACTTTTCCACAAATTTTGTAATCCCCAACAATGATACTTTTATCACTGTGACAGGTTGAGAACTTTTACCCAGGTTATACCTTTTGTTGACCTTTAGTGACACCTAGTGTCTATCCTACCGCCCCTCCCGCCCTATTGGGCGCTATATTTAGCCCGATTGGGCAAAATCGAATATTGATAAGTTTTTACATACGATTTTTTTTTTGGGAAAAAAGTGACATATTTTAAGCCAATTAAATCAAAATAATTTAGTCAACTCCAATCAATAACTATAAATTTTAAAATTTAGGTTTTTCTGAATATATTGAAAAAAATTACCTATATTATTATTATTATTGTCCATGCATGCACACATATATGCATGATGTGTAAGTGTAGATCAATCCTCGTCGTGGGGATGTGATTCCCGGAGGTGTGCCATGAAGCAGGCCTTGTGTACACACAAACCACACATACTACATTCATCCCCAGTACGGCATTTCTTCTTCAAATATCCACTGTACTTGCAGTACTTCCGATAAGCACGCAAACCTTCTACAACCTCCCCATACTTATTCTTTCTCCTTTCTCGTTTCATTTCTTTGATGGGAGTTGCATGTGCGCCTACCCCAGAAGTAGTTACTTCTGGACGGATTGTAATTGCGGCTGTAACTGAACGTATAACACGTGCCTCATAATTATTGTTCATTAATTCTTTTGATAACATCATATAGTAGTTTCGTTGATCAACCTGTTTCTCCGTTGGTGTGCGAGTCCCGTTGTACAACAATAAAGCATTAACAATGCACATAGCCAGCAAAGAGGTAGCAACGCGTTTGTGCCAGGTTCTAACCTCGAGCTTTTTCTCATGATTGAGCGTATCCTGCCTGTGTCTATTATGTCTATCGACGATATCATTGTATATAAAATACTGTTCTACTAACTGGGGCTGCTGGCAACGCACTTCTTTAGCTGCAATCGTGTTGCCGTCATTTCTCACTCTCATACGAGAGATGGTGGTACCCGGCTTAGTAGTACTTTGAGTGCTGATGAAATACTTTCTATTTCTATCAGACCAAACCAATGCGATATACTGGTTATTAGCTGAATCTGTGGTCACCATGGAGGACCAATGTCCCTCTCCAGCCAGTTCTTCGCGACCCAGAACCTTCATGGGAAACATCTTAGCTGCGGTCTTAGATAGCTAGCAAACCAGGTATCACCATAGATAGCACGTCCACTGCCAAAGTACTTCTGTACCAAACGCAGAGTTGTCGCTGTACCATGTTGATGGTCAGCTTCATGTTCTCTCTCGCTGGCGTCCGCCGACTGCACAAGCTCCAACTTTAATAAAAAGTGACCCTTCCCGCAGCAAGCAGTCCAGATCTCACAGCCGGACTCCGGCTTCCGATCCATAGACACGTAATGGAGCAGGCCCCCATTGAGCCAATGGCCTCCAAAGCCGTACCATCAGCTCATACCTTCATCCACGCAAATCTCGCTGCTGGCGGTTATTGTGATCATTGATAGCGTCTACAAACCCTTTCACAGGAGACCAGCGGTGGTCTTGACTGTTTGGGTTTAGCGTGTTTGTCGTAGTCTCCGCAAATTAGAGATGTTGGAAAATAGCATCGAATCGGCGACGCTCCATAAAGCGGCCAAAATTATATGGGGATGCATCTCGTGTGCATATGCCTGTTTCCGCCAACAGTCCGCCCGGGAGCCGAAATCGATGAAACAGAACTGAACACACACACCGAACCATTTGAGGAGCTCTCCTGGTGTTAAATGATGTGCGTACCGCCTGTCTTTGCTTGTGGTGAGTGTTGCGTTTGTCAATGCGCACATTTCCTCTAAGTGACCAAGAGGAAACATGGCGTAAAAGTAAGAGAGCGCATCACGCGCTATCCCATCCCTAGGCCGGAATGTCTGGTTGTTGGCGATGACCTTCCAGTCCAGTCTCTCGACTGGACGGGCATCCTCATCAACAGACTTCCACTTCCAAACCACCCCATGGACATCAATTGATGTTGGTCTGATAATAGGTGCCTGTGTGAGAAGCGTATCTAGCATGATATGTCCCCTGCCTGTAAGATCAAAAGGCATGACCGCGCTTAATAGACTTGATGGAGTGATAAGTGGCTGTCGGGCATGTTGCGTTGATGAGTTAGATGTGGCGTGTGCGCGTGCAAGTGTTCCATGTGCATGTGTGTGTGTTGTTGTTCCGGAGTCTCGTTGTCTAAACCCAAGTCCAATCCTAAGTCAATTTCTGGTTGAGTGTCGTCTTGTTGATTAGTTTGTGCTGATGATCCGGAGGCTGGAGCTGCATTATGCACTGCCAGCTGTATACCATCCGGTGCAATGTTGTGAGGATGTAATGTTAAGTGTGACAGTGTTCGTGCTAAGTTCACAATGCTCACATCGCCTGGCACAAGTGTAGAACTTAGATCAGCTGGTTGATACCGTTGTGAGGTATGTGTTGTATGTGCGGGTGTGTCTTCAGCATGTGCTGTGTCTGAGGTTGTGTCCTCATCATGTTCTGTGTGTGCGTCTGTGCCGTCAGCACGTGATGTATGCGCCTGTATATCGCCTGCACGTGCTGTGTGCATGTGGGTGTTGTCTACACGTGCTGTGTGAGCGTGTGTTGTTTCTAAACGTTCTGTGTGTACGTGTGTCATTGGTGTATGATGAGTGATAGTTGGTTGTGCAAGAGCACTGTGTGTAAGAGAGTGTGTGTTGCTGTGTACATCTTCGTTGTGTGCATCTGATTGCTGTACAACAGCTTGTGGTACAGCATCGCTGTAGTAGTCAGGTGCACCCACACGTACTTGGTCTGAGCTGTATCGTGTGCGTGGTCCATTGTTTTGCACTAAAAGTTGGTGTCTAGCTAAAGCTGCACGAGTAGGACCGCAAATCAGCATTGGTGTTCCTATAGGTGCATCATCACCATCTACTTCAGGAAGCGGAGTCAACGCTATGAGCTGTGGTGACTGTTCTTTCTCTTTACTATATACATATCCATCACTATCTGTGAACCCATAAACACTCAACGTGATCTTCCACACCTTTACCCTGCCTGTTGCCGACGCAGAGCTCTTTGCACTCACAACAGATGCTTCGCTCCAGGTCTCCTTCCATCGCGATCCAAATCGATTCAAAGCATATCTGCTATCCATATGGTGCCACCGTATATACTCGGTGGATCCCACCACTCGCTTGGCGGCTGCTGAATCGTTTTTAGGTACTGTAGGCATGTTTAGACCAAGAACAAATGCTCCCTAACCTACTATACAGTGCTCAAATATTCACCTACGTATATCTATGTATATCGTGGCACTTTGTGTATATCTCTTGATATATTAGAGGTATTGACAAGCGGTGAGTTTGGTGCGCTAATAAACGATTTCTTTAAATTGATTGGCTATTCAAATGACCGTGTACGTAGAACGAAATACGGCCCATCTGAGTTGCCGTTTCACGCCCGTTCGGGCGAAATTCGCCCGATTGGGAGTGTGGGTAGGGTAGACACTAGACATAATTTCTTTGGCACTACAAAGCACTGTTGTACAATAAACTCTCAGTGGTTACCTGTATCCGTCCCGCCCATTTGCTCCTGGTGTGAGTTTAGCTCAAACTTCTTGTGTGACTGGTTTTGTCCACTAGTTCTTGATTTATCTGTTGAGCTGGTTCCTAGAAGGGCTTCTCTTCTCTGTCGAGTTTATCTTTCTCGACAATCCTCGTTGCTTCTTTTCTGTCTTCAGACGGTTTTCCACTGCAGGTATCTTTGTCTAGTTTCTTATCTAGGACTCTAGAGCTGTTATTCTACTACCTAAGACTGATATGTCAGAGGAGTTATTTGTCTTACCGTGGTAAGGATATTGTTAAAAATGTAGAGTTTTAGAGCAGCTGACAGGATACGACCAAAGGAAGACCTCTTCTCAAGTGCGAATATCTCAGCTAGGTAAAGTCCTAGGCTGAAGGACTCGTATTGAGTATCTATTTGTGTTTAGTATTTTCTACATTAGACTCAATATTTACTTCTGTGTTTTTCTCACACGCGGGGGTCCCGGTATCGTCTACCGGTAATCCCGCTTCTATTTCTGATCACTCTATCATCAGAAATATTGAATCCTAGATTCAAAACTCAGCATGTATTTGATAATCCCGGATTTTGGGTTTATGATCGGCTTTTCTGATAATCTGGCCCCTGGATGCTACGCATATGCCAGGTCGATTCACGTATATGCATGCCAGACCTGCATATCTTGTACTCTTCATCTGTAAAGCACTGAATATATATCTAACTATCCGAGATACCTGTCCAAAGTATTTTTATATTCACTTTAAAATCAAAATTTCTATAAGCACTTGGTGGAAGGAAAATCTGAGGTCATTTAAGAAAACGGACACAACATTTTGGATATACACACAAAAGTAAACTTATACAGAACAAGAAAAAGCATCAAACAGTCAATCGACTCCTGAATATATCAATGCTGATAATCTTGTATGTAGTAAGTACTACGCCCACTATGATACATCTTTGAGATTTTATGAATTCAAATCTGACGGATCTGGCCCATCTAAAACATAAACTTACATAGGAGATGGTAATCTAGTTGTATGGGTACATTTATGTATGCATAGTCAGGTATGTGCATGTGGATCATTTTTAAATATGAAATTCCCTTTTTGTACGTGAAGCAAATAAAAATGAAGATCGAGAAAATATCGATTAAGCACCCTTTCAAAAGAAAATGAATGCTTTCAGTTTTGCGTAAATAATCACACTCGAAGTGCTCGCCCACTAGATATGAGAAGAAAGTCACACAAATAAAGCAGGGCATTTCACCACCCGAATACCACAATTGCTTTGGGAAAGATTGTAGCTACGCCAGACAGAAGTACTTCACTTTTCAAAACCAAGCACTTAGTTCGATGAAGCTGCATCCACGATGACTGACCAACACAAACTTAGAACACACTCTTTATAAATATGATGTCGACAGCCTACATCGCGATATTTTTCAATATGACTATACAGCTGGCCCACATTGCACCGGAATTGATTTCAAAAACTGAGGACACAAAAGGTCCACACAAATAAGCAAAGTTAGACCACTCAATATGGGCAACCCCTACAAATGAGAACAGTACTTCCAATACAAAGCCAAACCGAACAAAGTGTGCCACGACACACTCTGCTTCTGGTATGAAATACGATACATGTATTCGTTAAAAATCAATATACCAATAGAAAAAAAGAAGGTGAACAGCCCTCGTAGAGGGTAGTCTTTCGGAGTAAGCATAAAAAATAGTCAGTTATATGAATTGACTTTTTATCAACACATGATTATAATTGAAATACAATACATTCACTGGTATGTCACATCCGCTGCTTCTGTACACCCCTATTTTCTGACGGTTCCGCATGTTTACTGTTGCGGTATTACAACGACCTGATCCATTTCACTGTCGATGTTCTGTGGTCATGGTTCTCTGCAGAAACAATTGCGCGAATGATCATATTGAACATCAATGTTTATGAGAAAAGATTCTATACACGTGTTGGAATGGTCATTGATGCGATTTTTTTCTAAACTCTGAGCACACCCTTAAAAGGTAAACTACAGCGGTAATGACCTGATCGACAGTTTTATAAAAACATTCATCGCAATTCCTATTACACTGGCCATGAGATCACATTGGAGGTCGAAATAAACTCATTGAAAGTGTCCAGAGATTCATGTACTTCTACATTAGGCCTTAATTGACATTACATTATCCTAAAAATAAATATGTCGTTTTTGGATTGGAGGACAGTAGCGACACATACGCAGATGCTAAGGATATGTGCTTATATGATTTTTAAATACAGATGCAGGAGTACACCTGACGAGAAGGAGAGCACACGAAACAGTTAGCAGCAGGCAACCGTACTGCATTAGAAAGACATGCCCAAGCTCAGGTTGGGAGTCGCAAACCCTCGACGGACTTGTATGAATCCTGAAACTCCACATGCGGTTGCTGGTGGGTCTGATCCGAAACGCAATTGGGTCGTAAGGGTGGATAATACTGTATATTCAGGACTGCGGCATGTTCAAGTAGAAGAGGAAGCGTTTTGAGAAGGCCAGAAAACCGGCACAATGCGTCGGTTAGTATATAAGATTAATACAAAGCAGTGGAAAAGTATTTTTGAGAGTCTACAGGTGTCAGACCAGCTTTCACAACAAGTTAACACTCTGATCCATTGAAATCATTTGAATTGACTCACTCCCAAGAGTCGAATAAGTTTCTTAACTCACTCTCGACCAACAACACGAGCATATCAACTAACAGAGAAGTCGAAATAGAATAGGGATGATGTTATTCATTTCAATTTGGGTAAATTATTATATCTACATGCACATTATCGAAGTGTAAAAGTGTTCTGAAGGTTTCTTATATTCCCTATGTGCGTTTCCACCCTGGCCAATCCAAGTGGCTGAACACTATTACAAACACCGTAGATATAAAACAAATGGTGAAACCAGAAATAAATATATAAATTTACATTAAATATAAATTTACTATTCTACGCTCTAATATTGGAACTTATGGTATATGGATTAAATGTAGGATTCACAACTTAAACTCAGATAAGAAACATGCTACTTTGATAATGCCAGGAAAGCAGCGTTCTCTGAAAAACGGATGCAAGAAGGATAATTGGGTTCATTGATACGGGTACAAGCTCTCGGAACATGTATTTGCCTCTTACATACTTCGCTGACATGAAACTTTTTTTTTAAATCAATTGTGTTCACCAGGTTGCCCTTTGAAAGACGTTTCTTAATTCAGGGTACCTGAAAACCGAAGCATCTAGCCACAACTTACCATAACATACGACGGAGAATACAAAACCAGAAATTGTATAATTGGAGTAACATTGATTGCGCACATGCGGTAATCACCATGCTTACATCTGATTCAAACATTGCATTCCCGTTTCACAGTTCTACGCCAACTGCATATAAAAAACATAAGATGGTCTGATTTACTGCGGCATCTAAGAAGGTAAAAATAATTTGCAACATAGAGTACCCCGCCCGAGAGCGAGTTCAGCTCAGTATATTTCTTAAGATCTTTTGTTTTTAAAATAGATGTACCGAACTTTATAGAGTACTGGAAAAAATTGGTATACTGTCAACTGACATGTTTCAACTTTTTGAGCTTACGAAGCCCTTATCAGATACACTTAACAACATACACAGGGGTGTTGTGTACATATTCGTATATTGTTCATACAATGCACTTTTAATTCCATCTCTATTTTGATGATTTTTAAAAGGCAGTGGTGTGGAAGAATCGACCGCCTAAAACACGTCAAACAAATCACTGTCACTACCGAACTACTATACAATGCAAAAATCTTTACATTTAAGACTACCAAATTTTTATACAATTCACATATCTTTACTTTCTGTAAGAATGAATGACTGTCAATACCGAACTACTATACAATCCATACCTCTTTAAATTCAAGTAAGAACAAATCACTGTCACTACCAAAGTACTATACAATTCATACATTCTACATTCAAGTTAGAATAAATCACTGTCCTTGTATCGAACTTTTATACAATACATAAAAACAACTTTTACATTCAAGAAGTAGGAATAAACCACTGTCATTAGGTATTGAACTATTACACACGATAGGGTCATTCCCATTGGCTTTGACCAAGCTCATTTTCTATTGGCTCACATGTGTCGACTGGAAATTCATTAATAATTATCTCAGTATTCAATTTTGAATTTCTCAATTTCTCCATTTCTCCAATTTTTAAAAGGTAATACGCCTCACACAACTCTAATACCCCATTCAGGAAAAGAAAACTAACCAAAATGATACACGCGTGTCAGTATAGATTAATGTTGTGTTTAGGGTTTAGGGGTTTTTAGCCCCCTAAAACTTGTAAATAATACTAGGCTGTATATCGTGAATATTTGAGATGTACAGCAAGAGTACAAAGTCATAAAGTACCTTAACCTGCATGTTTTGAGATGGACGTACTGCTGATACTATCTGCACGATAACAGCTAGATTGATGTGTATATAGGCTTATAACCTCGTGCTATAGATATACACGAAGTGAATCTAGCTTATACTAGATGTACTTTTTGAATAATAATAAATCATGATGCTTCCAAGACACTCCATTGATGAAAGATATGCTATTTTCAACTATACAAGCATGCACTAAGAAAATTG